AAATTGAAATAACCAGTCATTTCAAAAATGATAAAAGAAGAAAATCCCCTTCAAAAACTTTTCTATGATCTTATTCAGTAAAAACCGGTCAAACAAAATTCTATTTAAAATCATATCTTTTAAACTACAAATGAATACTAGTTTAAACCAACCAAAATTAAGAGAACAAAAGTTTCACTCACTAATCATGCTACACAAGTTTATAACCAAAAAAATTTCTTGACCAAAAAGATTCAGACAAGACAGAACCGAAAACAAAACCAAAATTCCATGTCAAGACAATCTTAATTTCCAAGAAATTTGATCAAAGTAAATGTTCAAAAACAATTAAGAAAAACCATCATTAATAATCAAATTTCCCTTCTAAAAATAATGACCAAACATGCCATAAAGACCCATACAAGCAAAACCCATTACGAATCTTTGTAAATGTAAAAATAAGTACTATATTTTCAACCAAACAAAACCATGAAAACTACAAAGTAAAGCATCAGAATCATTGACAAAAAGACAAATAAGACTTATTTTTAATATATTTAATGTATATACAAGTAAATGATAAAATTAGTGTTTAATATATTTATAATTTTATCTAACTTAATTGAATTTATTTAGACAAACTCAAATGACACAATTAAATTAGGAACTGTATTAAAACACAAAAATAAAATTTAATCAAATTTGAATCAAATTTTGAACCTTCAATTTTTGAGTCTAACCAAATTAAATCTGACAATTCATCAACTAGATCTGACTGAAATTACGTTCTACAATATTAGTAGTTATATTGCTATGCCTTTTTATTTTTCTTCTTGTGTCCAACAGATTATCGTATGTGAATATATACTCCAAATACAAGAAAAAAATGAATATTAAAGAAACATTAACAATATTCTTTAATACCAACTGAAAAAAATTACATTTTCTAAGAATCATAAATTACGCTGGTATTTTTTCTTAATATATAATACATAGACTTAATTAAATGGACAGTATTCTAATTTTATGGATAAGTTCAACTTGCTAATTAGTATCATTATAACACTTGTTTTTTCCAGTGAAAATATATGAATCACGTTTGGTAGAGCCATCATTGCCTCATGAACCATTGGAATCTATGTATGGTCGTTATCCTTCCCATCTGCATTTTTAAGTTTCGTTTTTCATATTTGGCACTTGCTAATTAAAATTCAAAGTAATTTTTTTTTGGGGGGTACAAGCATGAGGGAAGAAAGGGAAAGAGTGTGGGGTTGTAAACCTGGTTCACCCCTTCGTCCATCATAAGAGAGACACAATAACCACTAATTTATATTTTAAAAATCAATATGAATTTTAAAGTTATAATTTCATTTTAATTATCAACTAATTTGATTCTAAGATATTAAACAAAATATTATAAGAATCAAAACTCCATATAAGAATCTTATATGCTATAAATTCAATTTTTAATTTTTCACTTCATATTATATCTCAATTTAGCTTACAAATTAAAGAATATATTTATCAAATAATAAATAAAAATATATATTTTATCTATTTTTCAATTTTTCTTATCAAACACATATTAAAAAAATAACATATTTACATATTCTTAATGTTTTCACTTTTCTCCGCTTAAATTTTTTATCCATTGGTTAAATCAACATGGATATTTTTTGTACTAAAAATCTATAATGAAAAAAGATTTTTCATTTAAAGTTAAAATAGATCACATCAAAGATAACTTATATTGGATTTATGTTGAATAACATTAAGATTAGCTACGTAGAATTTTGCTAGCTCAACACTCAATAAATCTTTATGGTAAGGTTGCACTTTGTTTTGGCTTTTCCATTAGTAACAACTACTTATGTATCTTTCCTCATTTATTGAAACTGATAATAATTTACATGTCATAAAATCAATTATAAATCATATTATTGTTATAATTTATAAAATTCTTACCAATATTATTATAAAATTATGTCATACAATTCATACTATATATTTTCGTATCTAGTTGCTATTGTTGTTTTTATTGATACCACAAAATATAATAATTTATTTTATTATAAAAAAACTCTTTATTTAAGGTCAATTATTTTTAAATTGGATGCCTTATAAAAATTTCTTTATTTTATGCTTTTACACTTTTATTTTAGATGCTTAATTTAATTTATGTAACATGATTTTTTTAATTCATCAATTTAAATTTTTAATATAAATTTTTATTTAATATTTTTAATAAAAAAATCATAAATTTTACTTACACAAGTTTATCTAAAACCTCATTTAAAATGAATTAGTATCACTATTTAATGTCTTTAAGCACTTTTTGATACAATTGCACTGTGCTTTACCGTTTGGATCACGAAGGCACAATCTAATTATGTTTACATGGCTTCAATGGAAAACTTAAACTCAATTGATGGGAAAAAGGTGTGGTGGTCATTGACATTTTTTGCTTTTTTTTAATTAATAAATTATGAAATAATTTTTTAATTTAATATAACGAAAAATTTTATTATATAATGAGCTTATAAATAAATAAAATTATTTTTATATTATGAATTAAAATGATTATTTTATAAATTTTATTATTATATAAAAAATTAATAACTAAATATAATATTATAAACTAAAAATAAAATTCCGTATTAATTATATTATATTATATTATTATTTTAACTAAAAATAGATAACTACATCATTAATAAAAAAATTAAAGAAAAAAATCATTTGATATATTATTATTTTTATTAGTGTTTAATTATTTATCAATAAAATTATTATTTGATATAAAATAATTTAATGAATTTTCAATAATTTATTAATTTTATAAATGTTAAATATTTTAAAATTTTTATTACATGCAAACTTTAATTTAATATCCTTAATAATTATTTCTTTTCTAATTATAATTCAACTTTTACCATTTATTTGCATCGAACTAAATGTATTCACAATTGATTTTAATCTAGTAGATAGAGTATCCAATCTTACTACTATTTTTAATCTCACCTAAATCAATCTTATTATCCATTTAAATTGATGCTAAATCATTCTCATTGCACTAGAACTGTTAATTTTATTCAAATTTGATGAAAAATCTAATTTTTTATTTGAATAAAAATAAAAAAGATATTAAAATTCTAAAAATTGAGATTGAAACATGTATAATTTTAAAACTTCACTTATAAAATTTCATTTAATTCATTTAAGTCTTTTTAATTGCACCGCAATGTTGATGATTCTTGCGTATCTTTTTACTTATAATTTAATTGGTACCATAAACATATTAGAAATGGATGGCAAAAAGATTTCGATAAGACTTCATATTTGATAAAAGATTTGCTTGAACCAAATAAAATGAATAAAAATTTACACATATTTTAGAATTATTATTTTATAAATTGACTTAACTATTGATTTATGGTTTATAGCATTGGTATCTTCATTTAATAATTAATTATTATTTTATATAGATATATGAGACCATAGAGTTTTAAAATTTCATTAATTTTTAAAAATATATTATTATAAAATACATGTTAATTTTTTAATTTTTTTTATAAAATTAAAAAAATTTACATTAGATAATTTTTAATTTGTTAATTTCTCTATATTTGTACTTATTTTTTTAATTATGACCTAATGATATGTAGTAATCTTATTAATTCATTTATCAAGTTTAAAATTTGATTGATGTATCATATAATTTTTGTTTAAATTAATTATCATGAAAATTTTTTAACCTCTACTTTTGATTAAAATAAGTGCTAGTTAAGTAAACTAAAATCATCTTTTATTTACTTTATAAAATAAAAATAAAAATATCAATAATCAGTATCTATGAGAAAATTTAAAATTTGATTCAATTAATTTATACTATCATAATAAATTGATATTTATTTATAATTTTTTTCACTAGACGTGGATGTTTCATAGTGACTGAAATACTCTAGTATTTTGCATACATACCTGACCATGCCAGCCAATGTAATTTACAACAATTAACAAACAATATTAATGATTAGTACTTAACACGAGAATGTATGCCGCGCTGGACTACTCGCTTACCTTTTGATTATCAACAACAATTTAACGGTTCATGTTCCTCCCTGTTTGAAAAACTGCAAAAGTTTATACAGAGTTAGGCTTGAAGGAAACCACTTCACAGGAAATATATTAGAAGCTTTTGGTGTATATCCGAATTTGTATATATTGCATTAAGTAAGAACAGATTTTATGGTGAATTTTCTCCAAAGTGGGGACAATGCCATAATCTAACAAGGCCACAAATCTCCAATAACAACATTTTTGGAAAGACACCACCTGAGTTGAAATATTCAACTCAGTTACAGGACTCGATCTCAATTCAAATCATCTTGTAGGAGAGATTCCCAAGGAATTGGGTGCATTGACATTGATGTTCCGTTTTTTGCTAAGTGGTAACCAGCTTTCAAGCAAAATTCCACCCGAGATTGGAGTTCTTTCAAATCTACAGCATCTTAACTTGGCATCAAACAATTTAAGTGGGACGATTCCGTATCAACTTGGAGAGTGCTCAAAGTTATTCAATTTGAATTTGAGCAAAAACAAACTTGGAGAAAGCATTCCATTTTCAATAGCTTCATATGTGGTCTTCAAATTCTAGATTTGAGTCATAATTTAATTATTGGAGCGATAGCACAACAGCTTGGAAAATTACAAATGTTAGAAATATGGGATCTTTCTCACAATATGGTTAACGGTCCTATCCAAATTTCTTTCAATGATTTGTAAAGCTTGATGGTTGTGAATATCTTTTACAATCAATTGGAAGGCCCGATTCTTAACATTAAGGCATTTCATGAGGCTTCAGTTGATGCCTTAAGAAACAATAAGGGCCTATGTGGCAATGCCATAGGATTAGTGCCTTGTGTTCCTATCCTAGCAACAAAAAGGGTCATAGAAAAAGAACCAGACTCATCATTTTAATTGTGATTCCACTCGTTGGTATTTTGCTTTCGCTATTTATCATGGCTGGAAGCTTCCTTATTCTTTGCCAAAAAAATCGAACCAGAAATCTGAGTCAGGGGAGGCATAACTTGGAGATATTTTCACAGTATGGGGATATAATGGAAGAATACACTATGAGAACATTATTGAAGTCACTGAAGATTTCAACTCCAATTATTGTATTGGTTCAGGAGGATATGGAAATGTTTATAAAGCTGTGCTACCCCTTGGTCAGGTGGTTGCTGTGAATAAACTTCACCAATCTGAAGATAGCATGATTTCCAACAACTTGAAAGTCTTTGAAAGCGAGATTCATGCTTTATCAGAAACAAGGCATCGTAACATTGTGAAGTTGTATGGCTTTTGTTCATATCCAAAGAACTCATTTTTGGTTTATGAGTTTGTATAGAGAGGAAGTTTGCAAATGGTATTAAGCAACAAGGACGAGGCAATGGAATTGGATTGGAAGAAGAGGCTAAATATTGTAAAAGGAGTGGTCAATGCCTTATCTTATATGCATCACAACCATTCACCACCTATATTTCATCGAGACATTTCCAACAATAATGTTCTCTTGGATTTGGACTATGAGGCTCATATCTCAGATTTTGGCACAGCTAGGCTTTAAAGCCTAACTCCTCAAATTGGACCACATTTGCAGGCACTTTTGGATACATTACTCCAGGTATCATTTCTTTACTACTATATGTTAATTTTGAAATACTGACAAGTGGTTTAATTCTTAATTTGAAGTAGGTTTTCATAATATAATATATTTCAACATATAAAAGTCTTAATAATAAAAATTTAAGACTCATTAATTTCTAGTAATAATATCTTCGTTTTATCAAAGATTAATATTTTTGAATCCGGATAACTTAATTGATTAATGTAACTATTTTTAAGTGGTGGCAACAGTATCTGCTATCCCTTATCTTATTTTTTGGTTGCGGCTTTTTTTGTAAAAATAATAATATTTCTATTCAACCCTTTGAGTTTCATGTAAGTCGTTAATTTTGGTTGAAATTGAAAAATAATGCACGCTATGGTAGTTTTCTCTCTGTCTCTCTCTTTCTTTTTCTAACCATAAAACTTAGGATATTGGATACTAACAGTATGTGAATATTATAATATTCTAACCTTTATACTTCTTAATTATTTCTAGTATGTTATTTGTGCCTAAATAAATTATAATTACTAGATTTGAGGTTTTTAACACAGAGTTAGCTTATACAATGAAAATAAAAGAGATGTGATGTTTACAAGTTTAGGATGCTAAGAATGGAAATACTTATGATGAGGCATCCTGGTCATTTGATTTCATGTTTGTCGTCATCATCGGCATCAACACCAACATCGGTGCCAAATGACAACTAACAAATTTTACTTAAAAGATATGATAGACCAACGTCTCTCACCACCAGTAAGACAAGTTGCAAAGGATATTGTCTCTACTACAAAGATAGCATTTGCATGCTTAAATGGCAATCCTCAACTTCGACCAACTATGCAGCAGGTTGCTCATGCCCTTGGCCATCAATCGCTTCCATTGATTGGAGAACTATGGGATCATAGGTTTGCAGTGACTAATATTAAGGTGCTAACGATTTGAATAATAATTCTAGGCACGAGTATTTGTGTTTGCTTTCAATCTATTTCTTTTTCTCTGCTTTGTATTGAAAATGTTTAAGTACTCTAATAATAAAGCTTTTATAGTGAATTAGCTATGATAGAGAACAGCTGTGCTTAAGCACTCAATTTGTATTTTAGGATTTCCTATTTCTAAAAACTAATGACTATACGTAAAATTTTGACTTTCAGTATCAATTGTAATATTCTACTATAGTATGGATTTGCTACAATACTTTCAAAAGCGAATGCTACAGCAATTCTAATACCACTTTTTTATTTATTTGAGCAAACAAAAAATACGATTGGTGAGTATACCAAATTACAGTAAATACAATTTCACACAATAACCTTTTGATTTTACTATTTACTCATCATTTATTCTTATACACACTCGTACATATTATTTCTCACAATTTCATCTTTCTAACTTTTCTTCATTCCTTACCTTTTAAATCATTCAAAATTTAATTGTAATCGTATTAAGTACTTCATACCAAAAACAAATTGTATTAAGTACACTTGAAATGGATTTGAGTGATGATTTAAGTATATACCTTTAACTTGTCCATTTTTTTTTACTAATATGCTAAAAAATTATTGTACTTTTCTCAAATTTGAAATAAACTTTTATCTTTATTTTTTATCCAATTGAAAGCATAAAACATTATTCTTATTTAATTAAATCTTATTTTGCATAAAAATCACTAAAATTGTTATTTTTATCATGTCAATGGTAATAATTGTTGTCATAACGTCTAGATCCAGGGATCTATCGCTAAACATTGACTTTAGGGAGTCGCCACCAATCTTTTTTATCTAGGTGCGATTGGCCACCTAAAGAATCTGTCCTTTTAGGGAACGTCTTAAGCTTAAGGGTCCCTAGAAGAATAGGTTCAGGTTTACAAACCAGAACAGGATTCGGGAGTTCGATTACGTGTGAGGAAGGTTATAGCACCCTCACAACGCCCATCAAAAGATGGTACCAGCTTAAATTTGTGTTATCCAAAAGCCTTAAAATTTCACCAAGTAATTAATTATTGAAAATTTTTCTCAATTGACTCTAATACTTTTAGCAGAAAATTGAGAAAATTTCCTCACCTCAAGAGTATGCAAGAAAAACTACTGTTTCACTTGCAGAGGCTCCGTCGTCGGATTATTTAAAGAAAAAAAAATCAAAATCAAAATAAAAAGAAAGAAAAGAATGATTTTTTTTTTGTGTGGGGAAAATTGATACTTTCAACTTTTTCCCAAAAAATATTTTTTTGGAAATTTATTTTTAAGGAAAATTGATACTTTCAACTTTTCCTCAAAACATTTTTTGGAAACTTATTTTCAAGGAAAATTGATACTTTCAACTTTTCCTCAAAAACTTTTTTTTTTGAAATTTTATTTTCAAGGAAAATTGATACTTTCAACTTTTCCTCAAAAACCCTTTTTTTTTGAAATTTTGTTTTCAAGGAAAATTGATACTTTCAACTTTTCCCCAAAAATGTTTTTTTTTGAAATTTTATTTTTAAGGAAAATTGATACTTTCAACTTTTCCCTAAAAATATTTTTTTTGGAACTTTTGATTTTTTTATTTAAAGAAAAATAGAATAATAAAAAAATAAAAAAAGAAAAGTAAAAGAAAAATAAAAATAAAATAAAGATAAAAAGAATATTAAATAAACCTAATCTAATAAATAAAAATAATAATAAATAAAAAAACAAATTAAAAAATTAAAAAAAAAAAAAACCTGGAGCGGCTCGGCTATCGGCGCGGCTCGGCTCGGCTCAAGGAAGAAAAAACGGCTCAGGGGAGCGGCTTGGAGGTTCGGCTCGGCTCGGCTCGGCTTGGAGGAGGGGCAGTACGCGCGGGTCAGGAAAGCGGGTCGACGTTCGGGTCGGGTCGAGTTCGGCAAAATGCGCGGATCCCCTGGTTAACTTAAAGCCAAAACGACGTCGTTTTGGGAGGGTATAAAAGGCACCTTCCTCCGTTTTTCGGCAGAACGCTCCTCCCCCTCTCTCTCTCTTCTTCCTTTTTCTTTCCCTTCTCTCTAGAAACTGAAGAACACCGGTGCCGGATTCTGGAAAAAGTCACTGGAATCTAGAAATTTAGCCGGAAGTTGGTCGGAAGTTCGTCGGTTTCTGGATTTATTCACCGGTTTCTGGGATTCTTTGCCGAAAACTGGGTAGGTCGTCGGAAACTTCAAGGTTGGCCGGAGATTTGGCCGGAAAATTCAAGTTTCGCCGAAAAAGTCAACCGGAAACTGGAATTTCCATAAATTCCCAGAAAAAAAAATTCGAAAAATCTTCAAAAAATTTCTTTTAGCTCCCAGAACACTCTTAAACCCTTTTTTAGCTTCCTATACGCCTCCTTTTCTCTCAAATCAGTAGCTTTGCTTACTGTTTTCTGTCTCTCTTCCATCTGTTCCAGGATCCTTTATATAGGGATTGATCAGGAGTTCCTGATCAATCCCAATTCCCCTTTGGAAGGGAATTCAATCTTTGAATCCAGTCTGGACTCTTCTGATTGAATTCCCACTCCCAGTGGGATTCTTTAACTTTCAATCCTAGCCCTCCAAAATAAAAATCAAAATAAAAAAAAAACTAGATAATTAGAGAAGATAAATCAACAGATATTATAGGATAAATAAAATAATAATAAAAAAAATATATCAGATATATAATTAGATAAGTAAAAATACAAAAATGAATAAAATAAAAAAGATAAAAAATATATATATACATAAATAATAAAATACACATAAATATTAACAATAAATAAATAAATAAATATATACATATATTAATACATAATAATAATAATAAATAATACAATACATAAAATACAAAAGAAGAAGAAAAAAAAATACAAGATAAAATTGAATTGGGCTTACCCATTTGGGTCAGGCCCAATTGATCTGGGCCGGACCCAATTGGGTGTCTACAGCTGCCCCTTTTTGCACATTTTCTGTGAAACAGAAATTGCGCAAAGACGTAGACACCCAATCAAGACTCAACTCAACATTTTTTGGTTTTTTTGTTTTTTTTTTGTTTTTACCAAAGCTCCTCTAAACAGAGGCACCACGACTTTTGGAAAGTAAATTACTCCTCTAAACAGAGGTACCACGACTTTGGAAAGTAAATTGCTCCTCTAAACAGAGGTACCACGACTTTGGAAAGTAAATTGCTCCTCTAAACAGAGGCAACGAACTTGAAAAAGTAAATTGCTCCTCTAAACAGAGTTGCTCCTCTAAACAGAGGCACCACGACTTTGGAAAGTAAATTGCTCCTCTAAACAGAGGTACCACGACTTTGGAAAAGTAAATTGCTCCTCTAAACAGAGGCAACGAACTTTGAAAAGTAAATTGCTCCTCTAAACAGAGGTACCACGACTTTGGAAAAGTAAATTGCTCCTCTAAACAGAGGTACCACAACTTTGGAAAAGTAAATTGCTCCTCTAAATAGAGGCACCACGACTTTGGAAAAATAAATTGCTCCTCTAAACAGAGGCAACGAACTTTGAAAAGTAAACTTTGAAAAGTAAAGTTGCCTCGCTGCTAAACAGAGGTACCGTACGACCTTTGGAAAAGTAAATTGCTGCCTCTAAACAGAGGCCAACGAACTTTGAAAGTAAATACTCCGTAGACATCATGTCCGAAGGAGGTTGAATTAGTTGTGTTTGAGGGAATTTCAGGAGATTCATGCCCAAAAGGTCTTATAAATCAAACCCTGATACCAAAAAGGCATCCTATCTCAAGGATTAGGAACTTTACCTGACAAGTTTCTTCTCCATCTTGCAAAATATCTTCATATTTTGTTCCGTTCCTCCATTATGAGATGTTGAAACACCCCTACTTCTTGAATTTATACACTATACTTTCCTGAAAGTAGTGTATGCTATGCAATGTGCATGATTTTCATGCATGCTATGCAAATGTTGGCCATTAATTCCTGTTCAATGTATGGTACTCAAGTTTCTCAAGCTCTTTTTTTCTTTCTTGGGTGTCAAGC